AAAAAAAAAAAAAAAAAAAAAAAATTGACCAACCCCAACTGTCAGATATACACTTGAATCACTGAAGATCCAAGTATGATTTGAATTCCCTGACATTTGTACACTGGTAAAATGTTACCTCTATTTTAATTATTGCTATAATCATGTTTGTATTATTGATTCATTTATTGACTTTGAATTTTTGTTTTTAAGAGGATGTATAAATTTTTACCTGTTTAAATAAAATTTAATATCAAAGCCCAGTCACTGTGGCTCTTGCTTGTGATCCTAGTATTCTGGGATTCTGAGGCAGATGGATTGCCTGAGCTCAGGTGTTGGAGGCCAGCCTGAGCAAGAGCAGGACCCTGTCTCTAAAAATAGCTGGGTGTTGTGGCAGGTGCCGGTAGTCCCAGCGACTCAGGAGGGTGAGGCAAGAGAATCACTTAAGCCCAAGAGTTTGAGGTTGCTGTGAGCTGTGACACCACGGCACTCTATCCAGGGCGACATAGTGAGACTCTGTGTCAAAAAAAAAAAAAAAGAAAAAAAATAGATTGTTCCAACTCTGTTAAGATATTTTGGTGGAATTAGAAATAGTAATTATGGCCAATATTTTTGGGTGCTTAGAAAAAAATATGGTAATAAAGACTTTTTCAATAATTTGGACCAAAATGCCTAGAATTTTGCAGTGCTATCCTGGCAAAGAATTACTGGCATATAACAGACAAAATCTTTGGTTAAAAGACCTAGACCTGAAAAGTTTAAAGTTTGTTAGAAGTTTTATAACCCAGTATTTTAAGTGGTTTTAGCATAATCATTACTTTGCTTTCATAGTTAACTTTTTCCAGTCCTAGGAAAAGCCCTTCTGTGATTATAAAGCCAGAAGCATATTCTCCACAATTTGGAAAAACATCTTTTCCTACAAAGGAGTCTTTTAGTGCTAACATGTCCCTTCCCCACCCCTGCCAGACAGAGCCAGGATACAAGCCTCTTGTGGGCAGAGAGGGTAAGTCAGTTTAATACTGTATAACAAACTACCCAAACTTAGGGTTTACAACAATAATTATTTTCTCCCAATTTCTGTCTGACAGGGCACAGTGGGATTTAGGTTATCTCTATTGGGACTGGAATCACTGACAGCTTATCTGAGGCTGAAAGATTAATTTCAGAATGCCACACTTAGTAGCTAGTGGTATAATTCTCTCCACAGGGCTCCTCATAACCTGGTGAATGACTTCCTCTAATGATAGCAAACCCAGAGAGAGGGACAGGCAGAAACTATCCTTTTTTTCTGTTTTTGTTTTGGGGGGAGTTTTTTGAGACAGAGTCTCACTGTGTTACCCTTGGTATAGTGCTGTGCTGTCACAGCTCACAGCAACCTCAAACTCCTGGGCTCAAGTGATTCTCTTGCCTCAGCCTTCCAAGTAGCTGAGACTACAGGCACTTGCCACAACGTCTGTCTATTTTTTGTTGCAGTTGTCATTGTTGGTTAGCTGGCCTGGGCCTCGTTCAAACCCGCCAACTTGGGTGTATGTGGCTGGCACCATAACCACTGTGCTACAGGTGGGAAGCCCAGAAGCTATCCTTTTAATGGCCTAGCCTCAGAAGTCAGGTAGCATCACTTTTGCTACATTGTATTCGTTAGAAGCAAGTTACTGAGTCACATTCAAGGAGAAGGAAGCTAGGCTATTCCTTTTGAAGAGAGTTATGTTAAATAATTTGTGGGCTTTTTTTTTTTTCTTTAAGAGACAGGGCCTCTTTCTGTCACCCAGAATAGAATAGAGTGCAGTGGAAGGCAAGCTTAAAACTCCTGTACTCAAGTGATCTTCCTTCTGTCTCAGCCTCCCAAGTAGCTGGGACTATAGGTACATGTCACCATGTCCTGCTTATTTTTCTGTAAGAGATGGGGTCTGCTGTGTTACCCAGATTGGCCTTAAACTCCTGGCCTCAAGTGATCCTCCCATCTCAGCCTCCCAAAGTGCTGGGATTGCAGGGGTAAGCCACCATGCTCAGCCTTACCGTATTTTAAAACCATCACAGTCAGTATCAGTTGACCATTCTTGAAACAGCTAGTATGTAGGGACCTGTGTTCTTTTTCTAGTCCAGCCTTGAGTTTGTATGACTCAGTTCAGACTAAGGAAACGCTGCTGCTTCTGGAGAGAGATAGTCTAACATTAGTAGTTTTTCTGCTATGCTTGCTTATCTTATAATGCAGATATATTAACTGTCTTCCCATTGTTAGCCTTTTCACATCATTGGCCATCACACTAGTTCTGAGAAACTGCAGGCCACTTGTATTTTTGGTGTCTGGCAACTAAAGAGGCAGTGTAGGGTAGTGTAAAAAGCAGACAGTAGAGCCCAACTGCCTGGATGTGGGTCCCAATTATACTGCTTTTACTGGCTTATATGATTTGGGCAAGTCTCTTAACCTCTGTGCCTCAGTTTCCCTACCTGTAAAACAGAACTAATGATAATTCCTAGGATAGCTATAAGGAACAAATGAGCTTGTATATGTAAGGCTCTTAGGGCAGTGTTTGACACATAATAAACACCATATAAATGTTAGCAATTACTGTATTTGTCTAATTTCTTTTTTTTTTGAGATAGAGCCTCAAGCTGTCACTCTGGTTAGATAGAGTGCTGTGGTGTCACAGCTCACAGCAACCTCAAACTCCTGGGCCCAAGCAATTCTCTTGCCTCAGCCTCCCACGTAGCTAGGACTATAGGTACCTGCCACAACACCCGCCTATTTTTTGGCCCGGGCTGGATTCAAACCTGCCAGCTCCGGTGTATGTGGCTGGTACCCTAGCCTCCTGAGCTATAGGCACCGAGCCAATTTTTTTCTAAATTTCATCATCTTGAAGAGAGGCAAATAGTTTAATTTCCTTTACTTGTATGAGTTCTTGTTTTATCTGAGAAAGGTACTCGGGCTCTTGAGCTGCTTTGGCTCTTCTTCTGATCCAAGGTTGAAGATGTAGAATAATCTGTTTTAAACTCATTACATATAAGAGTTTCTGATATGCCTGTACTTTTGTGGTAACGTTTTGATTTATATTTAATCTAGTTTCAGATAATAAGACCCATAGTCTGAGAGGCAATCCAATAAAGCAAGAAGAGGCCCAGAAAAGCTTTCTTGACAACTGGAGGCAGAGATCGAACACTCAAGGTATCAGAATCTCTGCTTCTCTTTTGGGGGCCTGCACTGCTCTAGTTGTCCTCTGCAATACATAGAATTGCCTGGAGAACTTCCTGAGGCTCTGAGAACCAGGCAGTCTTTCAGAGAGTCTAGGGAAGGAGAAGTCTATGACTTAAGCAGAATAAAGAAAAAAAGGCCAAGAGCAAGTGTGTCCCAAAGCCTTCTGCATCTACAGGCATCTTAACAGGGCTTAATGGCAGTTTAAAGCAGCAGTTCTCAACCTGTGGGTTGCAACCCCTTTCTAACAATGGAAATACAGGGCGGTGCCTGTGGCTCAGTGAGTAGGGCACCTGCCCCATATACCGAGGGTGATGGATTCAAGCCCAGCCCTGGCCAAACTGCAACAAAAAAATAGCTGAACATTGTGGCAGGTGCCTGTTGTCCCAGCTACTCGGGAGGCTGAGGCAAGAGAACCACTTAAGCCCAGGACTTGGAGGTTGCTGTGAGCTATGACACCACAGAACTCTATCGAGGGTGATAAAGTAAGACTTTGTCTCTTTTTTTTTTTTT